AAAAACGAATGAGGAATATAGAACATTCTACATATATTTATCATTAAGTGGTTTCCCACTTGTTTAGAAACCCCAGGACCTTGAAATAAGTAAAAGTAACAGAACAATCCCTTTATAAAACAATCTTAAATTTTTAGAGTGGCTTAATTCTCATAATTCCTTGTAAGGAAGTCAGTGAATAAACTGAGGCTTAGAGAGACATCAGGGCATGTGCCGGTCCTATAGCTGCGGGTTATTGTACCTGCTTCTCCAGGGCTAGTTCCAGGCCTCATTAGACCTTACCCCTCATGTAGAACTCTAGTGCCATGCTCCCTAAATTACTAAAAGGCTCCAATCCCAGAGACATTTACATTCTTTACTGAGTTCAAAGGGCAGGAGTTGGAATTAAAGTTAGTAAACCTTCCAGAGCTGTGCTGTCCAATACAGTAAACACTAGCCCCATGTGGCTCTTTAATTTAACTTTTAGTTAATTAGGATAAAATAAAATTTAAAAACCGTCTGTCAGTTGTACTAGGCACATTTCAAATGCTCAACAGCCCCATGCGGCTGGGTGGTAAACATATGGGACAGCCCAGGCGTAGACTGTTTCCGTCATTGCAGAAAGAGCCCCAGTGCTATTCCAGAACCATTTCCTACCTGCGTGCGGGCAGAGGCAAAACAGACATCGTTGCATGTCAAGCATGTCTTACACCCCTAAAGAGATGAAAAGAGGAGGGGCTTTGCTGCAGGGGCTCTTGACAGTGACTCACCCCAGGCCTATCTTTTTTGTTGCCTGCACATTTTATACTCAAAGCCTCTTACACAGTTACAGAAAGCTAGTTAGCTCAGGCAGTGACCAGGCCTGGGAGCAATTGGCAACCATCAATGTGCTTATGAATTTAGCGGAGTGACTTAGTTACATTTGGAAAGCGAGGAGCAATCTTAAATACCTTATGGAGAGCTGGGCACAGTGGCTCATGCTTGTAATTGCAGCACTTTGGGAGGCTGAAGCAGGTGGATCACGAGGTCAGGAGTTCAAAACCAGCCTGGCCAACATGGTGAAACCCCATCTCTACTAAAAATACAAGAATTAGCTGGGCAAGGTGGGACATGCCTGTAATCTCAGCTACTTGGGAGGCTGAGGCAGGAGAATTGCTTGAACCCAAGAAGCGGAGGTTGCAGTGAGCCCAGATCACGCTGCTGCACTCTAACCTGGATGATGGAGCAAGACACCATCTCAGAAAACAAAACAAAACAAAGCAAACAAAGAAAAAACCTTATGGAAATATTGCCCTTAAAGCATATACTTTCTCAAATAGAGTTCCCCTTCTTGCATGGCCATGGCAAGAGGTTCAGTATCTATCCCTAAACGGGAAGGGCAAGGGATCATTAGGTTTCTGAAAGGCCAAACTTGGTTTCCATTCGCCCCTTTGTATATTGATTTAGAGAAATTAAGGTGTCCCTGATATGGTATTTAGGTGCTTTTGTGGTTTCTAGCTTCCATGTAGAAACCAGGGAGGTTTCTACATTATGTATCTTGGTACATAAAAATCAACAAACAAACTGCCCTCACTCTTGTGTCTCCTGTGTCTCTGAATCCAGAGAGTCTCCTAGCTGACCTTGACTTTTCTTAATTCTCTGCTTCTCTGGAGGATTTGGCTCGGGGACAGATCCCTTGCTGTAGCACCCGCATGGTGCCTTTGAAGCTCAGAACAATCTTTTTTCCTGGTCCCAAAATAGTGCCTCTGAGATTACCCCTGATACCCAGGCTGTCATTATCCTAGGTTTCTGGCTCTGCCTTCCCTTTATTCAGTTAATGTCTGGCACACTGAATGTTGTGGCTTTCTTTTGCCCCTGACTTCCCACTTCTCCCCATGTACTTTGTTAATAATAATAAGCACCATCACCACCCATTGGGCACTCATTCTGTGCCAGAAACAGCAGTGAGTGCTTCACTAGAATGAATCTCTCCACCTCCACCACCACCACCTTGCTACAAGCTGCCTTCATCTTTCACCTGGACCATTGCAGAAGCTTCCTGATGGGCTTCCTTTCTTTTGTCTTTGTTGCCTTCACTCTTCTCTCCACAGAGCACCAGAAAGATAGTGTTAAAATGTGAGTTAGAGCATGTTCTTCCCCACTGCCCCAGCATCTTCTCTTTTGATTCAGAGTAAAATTCAAAGTCTTTGCAATGGCCTATAGTACCCTAAGCAATCTGCCTCTGCACCTGCTGACATTGCTCTGACCCCACCTCCTACCACTTGCTTGCTTCTCTCTCTGATCCAGCCACACTGGCCTCGGGACCTTTGCACATATGTTCTCCCTGCCAGATATCCCCATGACTTGCTCTCTCACCTCCTTTATGTCTTTTTTTACTCTGAGATCTCTTTCTCAATGAAGAATTCCCTGGTCATCCTATTTAAAATTAAACACACACACACACACACGCAATCACCTATGCACACTATTTATCTTCATAGCACTTATCACCATTAACATGTCATGTACTTTACTTATTTATTTACATATATATATGTGTTTATATATATATATACACACACACACACACACACACACATATATATGTATGTATTTGAGATGGAATCTTGCTGTCACCCAGGCTGGAGTGCAGTGGCACAATCTCAGCTCACTGCAACCTCCACCTACCAAGTTCAAATTTATATATATATATATATAAAATATATATATTTATATATATAAATAAAATAAAATGTACCATCTTAACCATGTTTAAGTGCATAGTTTAGTAGTGTGAAGTATTTACATTGTTGTGCAATCAATTTCCAGAACTTTCTTCATCTTGCAAAACTAAACTCTATGCCCATTAAGTAAATCCTCATTTTTCCACCCCTGGCAACATCAATTCTAGTTTCCTTTTCTATGCATTTGACCACTCTAGATACCTTGCATATGCAGACTCCTACAACATTTGTCTTTTCGTGACTGGCTCGTCTCCCTCAGCATAATGGCCTTGAGCGTCATGCATGCTGTAGCCCGGGAAGTCTTTGAAACCAGCTTTTGTGTATGCTTCATTTTATTGGGCAGGGTGTAAAGTTCGGAGACTATTTTTAGAGTTGCTTATTTTCTAATAACTATTTTGTCTGCATTTATGATATATAAAAAATAAGGCTTTGTTTATAGCCATCCTTTTCAAACAGAAAGGCTGGCCACAGAACAATGCTTTTCTATTTAATTAAACCTTTCCATTAGAATAAAATCATTTATTAAAACAATTAATCATCAATAAATAGAGAACAGCACTTATATAAGACACACAGTGCAATGCGTGTTTTAGAGCGGTGGTCATCAAACCGCCTCCAGGAGTCCTGGGTCCTCAGAGATGTGTCAGGGGCCACCTGAGGAGGGGCCTCATGGTGGGGGTTTAACTCCAACCTTGCCCTCTCCTCTCAGCTTGAATCAGAGCAAGTCCAGTAAACATATCTCATATTGTGGGTCCTGCATAATATTTTATTTGAATAAAAAATGCCATGGTGCCACATTGTTTTGTCATTAGTGCTGTCCACCAACAATTCTGGTTCTTCCCCTTTCCAGGCGCGTGGTAGCATCGTCCTTCCGGGCCTCTAATGGTTGGGTGGAGCCATGTGACTGATCTGGGGGCAATGAGTACTTCTCTCTGGTTTGGAACATTTAATTGCCAGTGCAGGACCCTCCAGATCACCCTCACTCCTCTCTTTTTTGTTTTGCAGCGTTTACTGCCCTTGCTTCAAGCAGTGGCCACTCTGTTAGCCTGGGTCCCAGGATGAGGATGACAAACAAGGATGGCACAGAGCAGAGTGTTCAGACACCCTTAGACAGATATTCAGCATGAGTTAGAATAATCCTTTTCTCTTCTAACCTACTGAGATTAGGGGTTGATACATCACTGCCGTATAATCTAGCCTATTGTGACTAATATATGCTGCTTTTTAAAAGTGTGTGAAACACCATTTTGGAGATGTATGAGTGTTTATGTAGATTTGGGTGCCTCTTCCCTAATCTTTGACTCGTCTTAAACCTTGCTTAACTCAGTCTTGTTTTCCGTGGTCTTAGGTTAGACTCAGATTTATCTGTCTTCTCCTCCTCTTACATGTCTACCCCCCATGTTTGACTGGGACTCTTAGAAATTCTGGGAGTTTCACCGGATAGTTAATTTGTGTAGCTTTTCCACTGCTATAGATTTAAACTTTTCCCAGGAAAGGAATCTTTTGATTGCCACAGGTTTTCTCATTTAGCAAATGCTGCTGAGTAATCCTTCTTCCCAATCCTCTACCCCCACCTTGACTATATATGTAAGGAAACCAATTACATTTCCATTTTTCCCCAGCCTCATGGTTGAGCCAGGGCTGGGAGAGATAGAGAGACAGAGACAGACAGAGACAGAAAGGGGAGAAAGCACCAAGGGGAGGAGGAGAAGAAAGAGAGGAGAAACATTATTTGGTTGCTGGGTTATGTCACCGGTCTTTTCTTCTAATGATGGGCTCCTTTTAAGTCAGTGTTTACCAAAATTTAGCCCTGCTACATCAAAAAAAGAAAGAAAACAACAACAACAGCAACAACAACAACAAACATGGTGAGCTTGTTAAAATGCAGGTTACTATTCAGCACCCACTGTGACTATCCAGTGAATATTCAGGGGGATTCCATATATGCTAGAGTTTGACAAACACTGTTATAAATCATTCTGGGTTCCCTCTTTGATCATGGAGCATCGAAAACATTCTTTCCCTTTGTAATATTGAGTGAGACCTTGTTTTTTTTTTCAGCCTAGTCTCAGTATCCAAATTACTTTCTGCTAAAAAATTTCACAGTTACTTAATTCTCAGCCTGCCTCAGAATTTACCTTTTCTTACATGTAAGCAGAGTATATAAATATTTAGAAATATAAAATAAAGTGAAATGTTTGTATTGTGTGCGCTTATCCTTTATATCCATTAAACTGTTACATTCTTTCTTTGAAGACAAAAACAAAACAAAACAAAACAAAACAAACACCTCCATAACTGATTGTGATAAAGCCAGGTGAGGGAAGGGAACCTGGTCCTGGGCCCCAGGATTGTCAGTGAGGCAAGTCAGTGGCAATTGACATGGATTATTAATTATGTGCCTAAAACTTGACATGTATTGTCTCATGTAAGCCTTGGAACTGACTGCCCTTTGAGGGAGGAATTATTGTCTTTACACAGAAAAGATCTATGCTCAGAGAGGTAAAGTAACTTGCCCAAAGCCACACAGCCGGTAAGTATCAGTGCCTGATTTATACCCCAAGGCATCTGGCCTTCAAAATCCATATTCTCTGCACCAAGCTGTACTGCCCCTGTGAGGGACTATGTGAGGCCAATGAGGAGGAGGACTAGAATGGTGGAGGGAAAATTCAGGCAGAATGGGGACAATGTCCCAGAGAGCAACTTCACCAAACCTAATCATACTTAATTTGCAAGACGGACAGCAGGTTATAGCATGAAAAACTTGGAAAGACTGCACTGCACGCCAGCATCTCCTCTGAAGATTTGCCTGGTCAGAGAAAAAAAAAAGCCACGTTCAATATAGATGTTATTTCATTTGGTCAAAGTAGGTCAGAGGAATTGGGCAGAGTGATAGGTGGTTCTTTATCAGGAGTTGTGTTTGACTGAGGAAATTAAACTCTGATGGAAAGAACACAATGAAGCCACAGTGTTGATGTCACCTGGGTAATATCAGGACTCTCTACTGAGGCAAGGACATTTACAGTTTCTATATGAAATGTCATCAGGACAGGTTGGCCAACGGAGACTATCTTAGAAATAACTGCCTACATGCAAAAAATTCTATATGTAGCTGCATTTCTAATTCTATTCCTGCAGGAGTGGGATGGGAAGAAAATAAGCTAGGAGGGTACATTCTCTTATTCACCACCATTATAAACAGAAGGTGCACATTCAGGTTTATTCTCCTATTACCCACTGGAAAGCTCCCTGGACTTTTCATAGCAAGTGCTGGCTCCATGTGCCCCCACAACCAGCCTGACGCGTAATTTTTATTAATGCAATTGGCCTTGAACAACACAGGTTTGAACTCTGCGAGCCCACTGAAATGCTATTTTTTTCAATAAAAGTTACGCTAATCTGCCTGCCTCTCCTGCCTCCCCTTCCACCTCCTCCACTTCTTCCGCCTCTGCCACCCTGAGACAGCAAGAACAACCCCTCCTCTTCCCTCTCCTCCTCGGCCTACTCAACAAGGATAAAGATCTTTATGATGATCCACTTCCACGTAGTGAATAGTAAATATATTTTCTCTTTCTTATGATTTTCTCAAGTTTCCTTTCTTTAGCTTACTTTATGGAAAGAATACAATATATGATACATATAACACCTAAAATATGTGTTAATTACCTGTTTATGTTATGGATAGGGCTTCCAGTCAGTGGTAGGCTATTAGTAAAGTTTTGAGGGAGTCAAAAGTTATACGTGGATTTTCAACTGCATTGGAGGTTGGCTCCCCAGTCTCCATGTTGTTCAAGGGTCAACTCTTCCTTTCTTTGGATTTTAATTTAGTTGAGAGTAAAGTTCCTTTCTATGTCTATATCCTTTTCAGCAATGGCATGCTGTGGGGACATAATAAATACTTATTAAACATGATGTTTCTCTGTTGCGAGTTTTCTATACTTATTACGAATTGTCATTGGAGGAGAAATGCTCTGCAATAATATGTGTCAACTTTTTAATAAAAACTGTTATATTGAGTATCTGCAAAGAGCTATTCCAGTGTAAGTTATTAGGATACCACAGCATTAATTTTTAGAAATTGATATATACTTATATCAAGTGGCTTAAGAGCACCTGAGCTCCTGGAGCAGGTTGAATTGTAACTTAGGCGTTTTGCTACTTGGCATGCAGGGACGCTTCTCCATTAGCTTCAAAAGCTTCTCATGGTGTGGTTGCTTTGCTGATTGAGTCATGTAGATCACTCAAATTCCTTGTGATGGTTTACACTTTAATCGTTCTCTCACGGTAATATAATGGTAATTGGTGTCGTTTAATCTACTGTGCTGTTTAATGTCCTGAGACTTCTGGGGAATTCACACAACCCATCAAACATTAACCTACACTGCCTATTTACTCCATGAAAGAAAAATCTCCCTTTTCCTCAGGCACCCCAGCTTTTCAAGAAGCTGGGCGAGGTGGAATTCATCCTACTGGGTATGTCCCAAACTGGAGAGAGGTTTCATGTGTACCACTTCTTCTAAGCTTCATGACTTTTCCACTTACCCCAAGGAACCCTTTAAGTCACTGAGTTTAAGTCACTCATGGGCCTTCCTCCTCCCCTCCCCTCTCCTCCACCTCCTCCTCATGGCTTCCTTCCTCCACTCTCCTCCATGGCCTTTCCTCTCTCCTCACCTCCTCTCCTTCTCCTCTCCTCTCTCTCCTCTCCTCTCCTCTCCTCTCCTCTCTCTCCTTTCTTTCCAGATGGAGTTTTCTCTCGTTGCCACAGGCCGGAGTGCAGTGGCACGATCTCAGCTCACTGCAACTTCTGCCCTCGGATTCAAGCGATTCTCCTGCCTCAGACTCCAGGTTTTTCTTTATGCTATGATTTCTCATTTTCCCCTCACCCAAGCTCTACTACTGTTCGAGCGCTGAGATGAACCAAGAACAGTGATAAGAGTGTTCTTCCCTAAATTAGGGTACGTTCCTCATTCCATCGTCAATAAACAGAAGTTACACATTCAGGTTTATTCTCCTGTTACCCACTGGAAAGCTCCCTGGACTTTTCATAGCAAGTGCTGGCTCCATGTGCCCCCACAACCAGCCTTACACATAATTTTTGTTAATGCAATTGGCCTTGAACAACACAGATTTGGACTTTGTAAGCCCACTGAAATGCTAATTGCTTTCAATAAAAGTTACACCCAATGTGCCTGTCTCTCTTTCCTCCCCTTCCACTGCGTCCCCCTCCTGGGACCCCACTCTGTTTACACAAATGGTTTTTTAACCCAATGCTTAGAATTTGCCCACAAAACCAACTTAAGGAACACCTATGGGTAAAGGACTGAGAGGCTCCTCAGCTCTGATCTGCTCCTAAGCTGGTTACCCTTGAACTTGGTCAGTCTGCCTAAGCCCCCATTGCTCCTGCAGTACAAAAATGTCAGTGCAGCATGAAAACCAATATTGTATGGTATCACCCTCCTGTGGAAATAAATGACCCTAGCAGAATGGGAGAATAAACTCGCCAAGAACATAAATAACCATTATGGGCATCTCTGCATGACTGCGAGGTATTGGATCCAGAATCTGACAAAACATTAGAAAGATTTGTAAGTGGTTGTGGCTGTAAGAGTGGGAATCAGCAAACCACATATCCCCAGCATTTTCAAATTTATTTTATTTTTGTCAAAATGGCACACTTACCCTTGATCTTTGCTTTCCTGAATGAAAAAGAAACAAGATTCCAGTGGGTATCTATACTATCCAGGTGCAGATAGGATGCTAGAAGGGCTGTAGTGGATCAAGGTCCTGTAGGATCATTGCCTTCGAAGGTGTTCCCTTCAGATGGAGGTATGGGAGAAAAGGGGAAGGAAGGGCAAATACTTTAGCAGGCCAGGCTCTCAATGACTGTGCAGAACTTCAGGGGACAGGAAAAGCAAATTGGAAACCCAGCAGCCTTAGAGGTGGGAGTGGGGGCAGAGGAAAGGCCAGCTGTATTAGTCTGTTTTCACGCTGCTAATAAAGGCATATCTGAGACTGGGTACTTTATAAGGGAAAAAGGTTGAGGGACTCACAGTTCCACGTAGCTGGGGAGGCCTCATAATCATGGTAAAAAGTGAAAGGCACGTCTCACATGGTAGCAAACAAGAGAAGAGAATAAGAGTCAAGTGAAAGGAGTTTTCCCTTATAAAACCATCAAATATCATGAGACTTATTCACTACCACAAGAACAGTATGGGGAAAACCAACCCCATGATTCAATTATCTCTCACTGGGTCCTTCCCACAACACTTGGGAATTACGGGAACTACAATTCAAGATGAGATTTGGATGGGGACACAGCCAAACCATATCACCAGCTTTCTCTTAGTTGAAGGCCAAGTATTTCTTACATAGGTTAAATCACATTCTTTGCTCTTGTTTTGTTCTATTCCTGTGTTCCTTTTTTTCCCTGACCATAAACATCACCAAGGTTGGCCAATCTACCATGTACCTGCCTCATTTCTTCTTCCTACAGCTATGGCAGAGCCTCCTAGTTGACCATGGCTTTATTTCCCCCTGAGCCCACACACGGTCTCAGCACATTTTTTTTCACACGCACTCCAGTGACCTGGACCCTCGGCAGAAAATAGATTTCAGGATGGAACTCATCATCCACTCTGAGCAGGCCCTAGAGAGATAGTGTCTCCTAGCCACGGTTTCTCTCTAGCTCACCACGCATAGTAGATGCTCAAAAACTATTTGGTGAGTGAATGAAGAGACATGACGAGTAATAAAACCATAGTAAATTCATCTGGAAACTTACAAATAAAGAGAGAAGACAAGATTCTAAGATAGTTTGAACTATTTATGTGCCCTATCTGTTCCATTCTTGGTTGTGTTCATTAACAAAAACAATAGCTAACTAGCTATAGTTGGAAAACCCATGTATACGTTAATATTGTTAGAAACAACAATGTAAGGTTTTTAGAAATGATATGCAAGATTAATGTTAGCTAAAATAACACTTTTAATAATGTTTTACTGTTCATCATAGAAAATCAGGAAAATAGATAAAAGTAAGTAAAAGAAATCAGAAATCACAAGTAATCCCATCCCAATAAATACCATAACAATTGTTAATATTTAACATTTATAGTCTTTTTTGGATATACAGAATTATATCTTTAAAATGATTTTTTCTTCCTTTCCTCTTTCCTTCTTTCATTTCTTTTTCTCTCTTTATTTAGACAAAATTAAGATCATACCATGCATAGCTTTGCAACCCACCTTTTTTCACTTAAAAATACATGCTGAGCATCTTTCCAGATAAATGTCTACAATTTAGTGCTCAGAAATGAATTTCTAGTTTTCCATCAGAATGCAATTTTCTCTTTGGGGTCAAATGCTGGATAGTAACAAACCAACATCTTCCAGAAAATGCCTCGTATAAGGCATTTTAAAAAGAACTATCAAATTTTCTGCTTCCCCACCTTTTCCCAGCCCCCAAATCACTAAGGAGTGAAAAATTTCTGCTACCATTGAGATGACATTTAAGTATCAATAATTCTATTGGAAGGAAGTTCGTGGTTGTGTGAAAAAGAGAGGCTCTCAGCTGTTCTGTGAAGGAAATGAGCATTTGTTTTTCTGTAGGCCTTTTCTAAATTGGAGCAATCCTGCAAGCAGGAAGGCAGAGAACAGTGCTCTCTCCTCACGGGGAGCAGCAGCAACTTGGGACCCACTACTTGCTGTAGATGGCGGCTGGCTCTGGGTTTTTTAAACACTACTCCTAAGCACCCCAGGAGGGCTGAAATGGTGCTACCCAGAAACCACATCAAAATGGACCTGGGGCCTGCAGCAGCACAGTCAGCATGGTCTTACCCAGCATCAACCTCCACTGCAGTTGGCAAGAGCAGTCAGATCTAAAAATCATATCCACTGCTTCAATAAGTCAGGAAAGAAGAAACCTGCAACTGGAGGATTGCTATGAAGAAGATGCTGCAAAGAAACCAGAACTAATGAATAGGACGATTCCATTCTACACCATTAAGTACAGCACTGAAGCCTGTGGACAGAGAATACCAGTAAAGAAATCCCTTTAGCTTGGCGATTTCTTCCTTGAAGCCTCACTGGAGTGCAGACAGAGGACCAGGAGTGCCTTTAGCTCTTTGCTTGAGCTGCCTGTTTGATTATACAAAGAAACGGCATCTCCACATCTAAGATTACCTCTCTGATGCCCTTGCCTACAGGGAGGGCCATACCTAACTAACCCAGCCCCCAAAAGTAACTGCCCACCCTACTCAGATGATTTCCAAGGAAGGAGGTTGTTCAAAGACCCCTGGAAATCTTTCCAATGGCTTATAACCTGAGTAGGTCATAGCCCTAACCTCTTTGGCTGCTGAGAAATAGTCTCTGGCCTTGTCGTCAGTAAAAGAGAGCATCACCCTTGCAAAACTCTCCCTTTGTGCCCTCAACTCAAGCTTCCTTGTCTTGGCGAGGATTTCTTGATTAGTGGTAACAGAAACCTACTCAAGTTAGCTGAAGAAAAGAATGAAAAATATTAAAATACAGAGTTATCTCACAGAATCCGAGGGCTGAAATGCAGCTGAGTCTTGAATGGCAAATTCCAATGGGGCCTGGAATTCGCAATATGTAAATTGGAAATATGCTTGATGTGAGCAACCAAAACAAATAAATAAACAATAAAAAAGGAACAAAACAATGACTAAACCCCAACAACTAGTTATATTGGCTTAAACAATCAGAAGTCTTATTTTTCTCATGAAATAATTTCAAAAGTTGCAGTCATCCATGTCACTAGGAATTCAGGGGTGGAACTTTTGTCCACCCTTGAATAGTTGCAAGGTGGCTGCTGCTCATCAAAGGAGGATGTCTGCTTCCTAGTCTGGAAAAAGACAGAGGGACATAAAATGAAAAGGAATGTTAGACACATCTAACCTTTTGGAAAACTCTCTGAGAGTTGCCACCCAGTGACATCTCATTGGCCGGAATTTAGCCACTTGGTGATCCATGATGGAAAGAAAGATGAGAAAGCATTTTTTTCTTTTATTATACTTAAGTTCTGTGATACATGTGCAGAACGTGCAGGTTTGTTACATAGGTATACATGTGCCATGGTGGTTTGCTGCCGCCATCAACCCGTCATCTACATTAGGTATTTCTCCTAATGCTATCCCTCCCCTAGCCCTCCCCCCGCCAACAGGCCCCAGTGTGTGATGTTCCCCTCCCTGTGTCCATGTGTTCTTATTGGTCAGCTCCCACTTATAAGTGAGGACATGTGGTGTTTGGTTTTCTGTTCTTGTGATAGTTTGCTGAGAATGATGATTTCCAGCTTCATCCATGTCCCTGCAAAGGACAAGAACTCATCCTTTTTTATGGCTGCATAGCATTCCTTGGTGTATATGTGCCACATTTTCTTAATCCAATCTATCATTGATGGACATTTGGGTTGGTTCCAAGTCTTTGCTATTGTGAATAGTGCCGCAATAAACATACGTGTGCATGTGTCTTTATAGCAGCATGATTTATAATCCTTTTGGTATATACCCAGTAATGGGATTGCTGGGTCATATGGTATTTCCACTTCTAGATCCTTGAGGAATCGCCACACTGTCTTCCACAATGGTTGAACTAATTTACACTCCCACCAACAGTATAAAAGCATTCCTATTTCTCTACATGCTCTCCAGCATCTGTTGTTTCCTGCCTCTTTAATGATCGCCATTCTAACTGGCATGAGATGGTATCTCACTGCAATTTTGATCTGAGAAAGCCTTTTTTTTTAGTAGGCCAATTGTGACTTCGTGTACAATCTGTTTCTGCTGGTAAAGAAGAAAAAGGAAGAGATATTGGGTAGCAGTTATCTTCTGCAGTGCAACAAATGACCGTAAAACCTAGAGGTTCAATGCAACAATCACTTTATTTTCTTGTGATTTTTATGGGTCAGGAACTAGGGCAGGGCTTAGGATGGATGGTTCATCTCTGCTCTACATGTCTGGGACTTCACATGCAATTGGCTTAAACAATCAGAAGTCTTATTTTTCTCATGAAATAATTTCAAAAGTTGCAGTCATCCATGTCATTAGGAATTCAGGGGTGGAACTTTTGTCCACCCTTGAATAGTTGCAAGGTGGCTGCTGCTCATCAAAGGAGGATGTCTGCTTCCTAGTCTGGAAAA